CATCTCCATTTGCAATTCTTTGTAGTATTTCGGCCCGACAAGGCCTACCGAACACATGCTCCTTCTTATTTTTCGTCTTCTCTCGTCTGTCTATCTGACACTGATCGTGATTCGATTCGATGTCTTAGTCTTAGTTGTTTTGAGTGAGCTAACCCAGGATTTACACTGTTGAGATTATACGTATAATAATACATAATAGCCTTCAGTACTTTCCATGATTATGTGGCTGGGGTATTCAAAGTATAGATCTACAGATCTAGATCTACGTTGCGCTCGATCGACAAAGTTATAGAATTAGAATCTAGATCTAGATCTAGGATAAATTTGTTTTGATGGCTTCCCTAGCCTCTCCGGTTGTTCGCAGTGAACAAGTCTGTTTAGCGTAGATCTAGATCTAGCAATAGAAATCTCTAAGGCCTAGTGTTAATTAAAACAATTTTTTTACTTTATTATTATTGGGTTTTTAAAAATCGGAGACCAGTGTTCCCAAAGCCGGTTAACCCTTCAACAAGATTGAAAGAAGCGACTGTGCAGAAATATATAGATAGGATAAAATAAATTGAGAAAATATACAGATATAGATCTAGATAGTATCATGTAGTGCCAGCTTACAGTGTGCCTTTCTTGGTTGCATAGTCTTAGATTCCGCCATTGCAAAACCAAAACACATGGGAAGAAAATGAAGGGGAGGTAGCAGCTTTTTTTGGGGCGCTCGACAAAGTCTCGACTCTTCATATTCTAAGAAAGGCAGTCACCTGCCAAATCATTTAAAGATTTCTTAATCTGGAAAAGACTAACAACAAACTCAATTTACCTAAACAATTCAGTGTGGCAACATTAACATATAAATTTAGACGGGCATGTCAGCATGCAAAATCTTTGTTCGCGTTTTTCTCGGAATGATGACTTTTCTGCCAAATCTGCTGCACTATTTTGATTAGATCTCACAAAGTTACAGTCAGAGTTGGTTGAAATTTTCACACAAGCCCTTGAATGTCCTATTACCTTACAGAGATATTTTTGCTTCTTCTCCCATTTAAGAACAGAAACTGAAAGACAAATGAGAATTTACATTCTTGGGGCGGAGATTCAATTGTGAGAGGACAGTTGGAGGGGGGGGGGGGGCATGGAATTGATGTAAAAACTTGTCAAAAAAGCTTTTTAAATAGCCTGTGCTGTGTCAACATGGTGTATGTTGCTGAATAATGTTTTTAGTGAAAACCGAGATGTTTAAGTGCCCTCCTCCTTACAAGAGCACTTTTCCTGAATATTGATTCTGTTTTGAGTTATTTGGCATTTTTGCGTTTCAGCATCGCCTAATATGGATTTCTGAATATTGGTCAAAGTGAGGGTAAAATTTGGAAAACGTATGATAGATATTTGAAATCTGATTCTGTAAGGAGGAGAAGCAAGCAATATATAACATATATACCAAGTGTGAAGCTTCTATCTTTATTGGTTTTGTAGAAACACTGTTTATAAAATATAAAGAAATTTTGCTGAATTAGCGCCATTTTTTGACGCCACAAGAACCAAAAAATAAAAAATGAATTTTTTATTTCTCAAAACCTCTTTTTTAAAGTGTATGTATCCATTGATGCATACAAAGTGGCTACAAAATGGTTGGAACTGAGTTTTGGCATTTTCATTAGCCACCTCCCCTTAAATAAGTATTAAGTCTATAACCTGGTTGTCAACTTGCTGCCTACAACCCCCTTACGAAATTCCCAACTTAGTATTTGCCACTGTACTGTCTACCTACTAAGGTCCTCTCTCCACTTGTCTTGGCCCACTAGAATAGACTGATACTAACAAGGTCAACTTAGCAGAGACTTCACGGTGACATTAAAGATGGTTCCAGTAAGGAACGGGATAGGGGATGCCCACATCCCTCGTGATTCATCAGAGCAGAGGAAGAAAGGACTAGCGCTAACATAATTTAAAAGCAAAAAAATAAACAACTAACAGAAGCATGTCTTCTTAATGATTATATACATAAGCACCATCCCACATCATCACTTATCACCCGTCACCACCACCGTCATTTCTAAAATCATCATTGCTCTCAGATCCTTCACAAAGGTCTATAATTATCTTGAACATCTATATGTAACAGTTATATGCTATAACAATTAATTATGTACGTAATACACTATTGGACACTATCAAACACGCATTTTTCTACTAATAAGATGGCGTCGATATATCATAGACATGGGCAAGGGATAAAAAAAAGATAACCCCACCCAGTGAGACGGGGGGAAAAGGTTTTTCTTATGATTGTGTTGCAAGCGCCCTAAAATACCAAAACAATAAAGACAAGAAGGCCACCTATTGGAGAAGAGTGGTTGTCTTAGATAAATGGACATCTGGACAGTATTTTTTATAGTATTTAATTAAATAAAAGCATGGTGGGCAGTGGTCATTTGTACAAGTGATTGTCCTAGACAGGTGACAACTGGGACAGGTTCAGCAATATAATTTATATATATGAAGATTATTAAAATCTATGTCGTATGAATGAGAAAATGTTTACCTTGGAACTAACGTCTTGTCTTTTTTTGTCTCCAATAGGAAAACCCACAGGTTATGACAGAGTACGTAACACTGAAATTGGCAACAAAGATTTTGAGTTGGACGTCCTTGAGGAAGCCTATACAACTGAGCACTGGCTCGTCAGAATTTACAAAGTCAAGGATTTAGAGAACAGGGGTGCATAATTGTAATGTCCAGCAGATTTTATGTTGCGTTTGTTCAATAATATATTATTTGTTTCTGCTGAAACCATACCGCTCTTGTACGCTGCTGAATGTTTATGAAAGGAAACCTCTGGTTTTTATCTTTTTACGTTTTTGTTGTCTACTCTCCAAGCTTTACCACATTGGTTTTTTTAGTTTGTTCAGAGTAAGTTATAAAATCCATCAAAGTGATAGATGAAAAAATGGGGCGGATGTTAGCACAAAGTTACATGTAATAAATGTGAACTGGCTGTGGGTTTGACTGTTTTTATCACATTGCCGTTATTTTAGCTGGACCATTCATCTTAAGGTTACATCGAAATTTTAGAGGACTTATTGCCTTACATACAAGCTGGAAAGTTTCTCCGATGTGAGAAGTGGCTTAGTCTGTTCTTTTTTGTTTTAGTTGTTTTGTTTGTTTTTTTCTTTTTTCTTTTGTGTTTCTCTCTTTTGATCTGACGGAGGGGCTGAGATGGTGAGGCTATGATTTATTGTGCGGTCATCATTTCTCCCAAATGAAAATGACACCACATAGCTCCCGCCTTTATCGATTAAGGCAGTCCATTCGCAATATACTCGAAGGTGTCCAAAATGGAGTTTTGTGATATATCGAGTATGTGGGCAAAGGATTTTTTAAACACTATTTTTACCTTTTGTGAGGTTGTACATTTGTTTTGCAGGGTTTATATGCCTTAGTGATTAAATTCTCTGGACCGCCGAATTTAGTAAAGTGTTTAGTGTCAGCCCCTCTGTCAGAAATATATATTTTTTTATACAAATTTCAGTGCCGGTAGTCTTTGTTACATTTTGTTATGTAATCTAAATACAATACTTAAGTTTATAAAAGACGTTTTTATTGCCTATAAAAGTTGTGACCGCAGGTCATAGTGTTCCTGCAAATGACCGTTACATCGGCTGGAAAGTAAAGCTGATGGCAGGAGGTTTAGTATCCATTTTTACCTATTGCAGTTTTGATTTCAAAACCCTAAGGTTCTCTCATTTGGAGAATGTCCGGTGGTATGGAATGTGAGTTGATTTTGTTCTCATCGTATAACTGTGACGTCTCTCGACTTGCCTGTTGTTTATGACAATAAAACGTGTATACTTAACAAACTTCTTCTTGTCGTGTTCTCTTTATTGAGTGTTGGGTGTGGATGGTTGGCGGGTGCTCTGATGTGGTTTGCACCTTTTTTCCTATCAAACATCTCGTATCATCTTTATCTCTCCTCCTTCTGTTTTATGTTTGTTACTCTCTAGTAAGACCTCTAGTCTTCGGCACTTATATGACCTTATTGTGTTGCAAGTGCCGTAAAACTCTTACTAAAACTTAACTGAGTGTTGGGTGTGGGTGGTCATTGGTATGTCCTACTTTTTTACTTTTCCTGTGTTGTTTCTGTCTGTCTTACTTTTTCCCAGCCTTAAATGACCATTATTGTGTCGATATGCTTCTCTTTACTCAAACAAACAAAATCAGTGTTGGGTTGTATGTGACATACAGTAAAACAAAAACCCAATCGGGGGCTCTCGTGGCCAAGAGGTTAAGGTGTTGGCCTCTCTTTCAATGGTCTCTGGCCTCTGGTTCGAATCCGGGTAGCGACCGTATAATTTTCTTCTGAAAAATTGTCTTCTTTCACCTCCTTTCCTGCTCTCTAGCAATGTTCTGTCGTCTGCTCTCATCTCCTCTTTCTGCCCCCTCCTCCTCGCCTCTTTTACCCCATCCTCTGGGCTCCTGAGTCTTTCTGAAGCCTTTTTAATAATAATAATAATAGATAGCATTTGTATAGCGCTTATCCCCGCTCAACAGCAGGCTCTATGCGCTTTACACTATATTATTACCCCAGCAGACCATAGAACACTCCGAAACATTCTCAGCTTCCCGGGAAGCATACAGTGCAAGCAGCTGATTAAGCGCTCAAACACTAACAAACTGATAAGATCTTTCGCTGTCTATAGCCGGGTACCCATTCCCACCTTGGTGAAGTGAGGAAAATTCGTGTAAAGTGCCTTTCCCAAGGACACAACGTTGGGCCCCTGACGGGATTCGAACCCACGATCTTACGGTTGCGAGTCCGAGAGCCTAACCACTAGGCCACCGACTGCTACTCCTTGGTTCCTTTTTACTGCTGTCTTTCAGCCACACCCCTGATCATCAGGAAGGAAAGATATACACCTAGCCCTCTCGGACAAGGGCGAAAAATCTTGAAGGGCCCGTGTGCAAGTTGCGCACGTTAAAGATCCCTTGGTGGTCCAAAATCGATCAGAGTAGGCTTCGGCTGCCACCTGGGCAAAATTCAAAATTTCCTACCACCTGAAAATGTTTGGTGTGTCCCGCACGCTCATAATGACCTTATGCAGTTGCGAGGGCCGTAAAACACTTTCCAAAAATAAAAAAACCCAAAAAACAGACACGCAAGCGCGCACACACACTCACACACACACACACACACACACACACACACACACACACACACACACACACACGTACACACACACTCTCTCTCTCTCTCTCTCTCTCTCTCTCTCTCTCTCTCTCTCTCTCTCTCTCTCTCTCTCTCTCTCTCTCCTTTAAGCAGACATTTTTTAGTTCGTAGCCAGCCTTGGGCGAGTTTGGAGGCTGGCGACAATTCACGCAGATACTTGTGGTTGTTCAGTGACAGAACGTTGGACACTGCCTTCCCGTCCCCAGTGATTGCCTGATGAAACCGAGGCTGCCAGGTGACATGTAGATCATAAATCTACGCAAACTGTTCAGGTATTTTGTTTATTATTTTCACCTTTCTTTTTTTATCTTTCGAAAAAAAAACACCTCCCGACTTTTATTGTTTTGATGCAAATGTTATGTAATAATATAATTCTTGAAAGTGGGCCTTTGAACCGTATTGCAATTCCTGTAATTAAGTCCCCATTCTTCAGCTCTCTCCAGTCCTCCCCATCATACATTGCGTATACTGAAAGGTCCTTTCCTCTTTCCATACCGTCTTTCCGTTGTTTTTGTCTCACTTTACAGAAAAACATTTTAACGATGTCAGAACATTGTATTAAATGTGGATAAAAATGCAACATAAGTTAAATCTCTTAACTGACAGATTTTTCTAAATGTTTCTGTCCTTCCTAAAATAAGGCCATGTTAAGAAAATATGTATGTTGTCCCTATCATTATCAAATATATACTCCAAAAGGGATTTCCTCCAACGTCTAAAAGAGAAAGAAAGCTTTTTTTTCAGCTTCAGGATGACCCAATACGACCACTAGACGATGAAGGACAAGTCGTGTGAGATGATCTGCCCCAAAGGTATTTCTCTTTGCAATATGTCTTCTTGATCTCCTACTCAATATTGAGTCTCAATTTTTAAAACCTTTTCTCCTATATTGTTATTTGAAAATTACAAATTTTTATTTGCACCTGTGGCTCTGGCTTTTAATCATAAGTCTGACTTTTGGCATTAAGGCCTGTCTGAAAGATATGTGTGGCTATGACTTTTAATTGTAAGTGTACTTTTCAAAAATACACCTTTCTCATAAACCAACACGGCTCTTGTATTAAATTATAAGTGTAATTGTTACATTTCAGCCTCTGTCCCTGATTTGGATGATCGGCAAGGAAGACGTCCCCAAGGCCAGCGAATGGGTCAACGTCACCGACACACTTGGGCGGTATACTCCACTGGAAGCAGCCCTCGGCGAGTGATGTCGTTACTGTCCAAAGGGGTAACCAACACCGAGGTAGAGACGCCGACAGAGGAGAACGTGAGAAGGGCGACAATTGAGTACTACTGTCGTGCTAGAACACATCTGCTGGGACATTCTAGTGACCCTCATTCCGCACTTTTCAAGGACCCCGAGCGAGTGTTGAGTTAATGTGTGCTGTCGGCATCACTGACTGCTGATGACGCAACAGTGCCAGAAGAGAGAGAAAGAATATGAAAGTGCCGTTCTAACATGATCAAATTGTGTCAATAGCACTGTGAAACAATATTTCAACCAGTTAGTCAAGAACTGACATGCCTCGAGAATCCTATCAACATGCTGCTGCACTTGAATGGACTCGTCCATTCATCCAGAGGACTGCCACGGGCAACTTTAACAGCTGACAAAGCAGTTTTATTTTTCTTGTGAAATTATGTTGATAGTACCGTAAAAACAGGCAAAGACTCAAGAAAACAATGTTCCTTGTATGATGTTCAGCTGGGGAGTTTGTAACGAAGCCACTGAGACACAAGGTCACTGATTCAGAACGATAAGACATTTCGCTCACCCGCCTCTTAAATAACCTAATAGTGTTGATAGGGGCGTTAAACCGATACCGTTTCTCCATTTCTCTCGTTATTTTGTTATTACTTTCAGTACAAACTTTGGTGAAATCAGAAGGTCCAGCCACGTTTGTGGCCCAACAGGTCTCACAGAGCTCTGTGAAATACAAATGTAAATACGTATTTACCATATTTACAAACATTTTCATAAATGTCTGTCCTTTTAGCATTGTGATTATAATATGACCATGTGCAGTTGTGAGCGTCGAAAATTCTTACTAAAGCACATGATCCTAGATTTGTTCCGGTGAAACCTATTGGCCATTAAAAGACCAAAATTGAGTCGATAGTGCCGTAAAGCACCTACTCAATCAACCAATTAACAGTGCTCTGTTGCTATGCTTTCGGTAGGCTCCTATATCACACTCAGGCTTAAAGTGACGCCGTGCGGCCGTAGAGATATGTAGGTAGGGAGCTAGGTGGTTAGGCTTAGGTTCAGATGACGATTTTGTAGCTATTGCCATGGCCCTGGCGGGAGGTAGTTGAGAAAAGTTTCTCATTTTTGGCTCTAAAATCTGGAACTCCTTGCCCCAGGATCTCCGAGAAATGACACATTTTGATTCATTAAAGCAAATGCTCAAGACCCATTTGTTTAATTCTAATTGATAGTGTTAGTAAATGCTGATGTGTTTTGTAGTAATATAACTAATGTATGGTTGTAAAAGTTCTTCTTTATGTGGTTGAATTGCTTTTTCTTGTTTCTATGAAATATGTTCTCTTTGTTCAATGATCACGCGATTAATGTATAGCGCTCAGAGCTTATACAAGCATGACAGGGTTAATGTGGTGAGGAAGTGGAAAACTTCAGAAGCATCCAAAGGGTCTCTCTTCCTTGTTCATATCAGTACTTCATAAAGGAAGATGGAGTAAGCGTTGTGTTTGCATGAACATGTTTACCATTACTCTAACTTTAGGGGACTGGACGATTCGAAATTTCACTGATTCTTTAGGGTCAGATTCAGAGCTGCCAAATACTGATTCACCTTCCTGTTTGAAGTGATGAGAAAGTGGTGAAATCTTGTCAAAATAAGAAAAAAAGGAGAAGCAGGCATTTTTCCGCCAGTTTGGAAATTTTTTAAGAATTTGTATTTTTTGGCTTAACCTCTTTTAGGTCCTTTTGAAAACACATTTCCATGGGAATTTTACTGAAAAACGTTGATTAAAGGTACAAAATATGTCATTTTTCAGTTTTCAAAGACTCTTTAGCTTTTGAAGTTACTAACTTAGTTTTAGTAAAAGTTTCGAGGCACTTGCAACACAATAAGGTCATATAAAAGCCGAAGAATAGATTATGTGTTACAAGAGAGTAACATACACAAAAGCGAAGAAGGGCAGATAAGGACGACAGATGTTTGATAGGAAAGAAGGAGCAAACCACACCAGAGCACCCACCAACCACCCACAACTTTGGTGGCCATTTTCTCGCTAATTTTGCCTCTGAAACTAAGCGACCTCAGTTCTTCGAATCGCAAATATCTTGAATTCTATTATAGATTAATGGGGAAAAAAATTTCAATTGGAAGCAAGGCAAATAAATCAGCTGTCAGATAATACCAATAGCTCCATATGCCCAAAAATTGACGAGCGCCTGATTCCACCGTGTCGTGACACAAGTGTTCCTCTAGATGAATTCTTTGGAATACCGAAATTCTGTCTTAGAACTGTCAAAAAACCTCGGCAAAGCGTTATTAGGGGCCTCGTTTCCGTTCTCTGGGGGAGTACCAGAACTTGAAAAGGTGTGAGAAACTGGGCCGCAAAGGATTGGGACTAACAGCGTTCAAAAAGTAATTTCATAACAATTTGGCGTTGCATCATCCCCGAAATGGTTTGTGTGATGTATGTGAGTCACACAGGGTTGGAAACATGGACAAAGAGACAATGAAACAGCACACGAGGCTGAAGGAAAGAGCCTTTGCTGGGAAAGAGATGCAGAACAAAATGTCTCTTGAAGGGTTCAGCTGACGGAATTAGGACTGTTGCCATTTTTATGAACTTGGAATCTGTGCTTCTTGTTCCTTCACTTCAGGCATCTGTAATCTACTGCCAGACAGTGGAATAAAAGTCCCTAGTCAAAGAACACGCTTACACGGACGTTGATTCCTACCTTAGCCGGATAGAACGAGCACCAATTTAAAGGCGTTACTATCTTCCGGCGTGCGAACTTCCTTAGCATTATGGGCAAAGTTAGACGCAACCCGAGACTCTTTGAGGTCCATCCCTTGATCACACAGTTTTCAAGGATTATTTCAAATGAGGACCATGCAAAAGTGGAAGAGGTGACCCACATGTTGTGGACACTTGTTGTCTTAGGTACGCCCATGTTCGGAACAGATCCTTCAAATTGACGTTTGATGAGAGGTTTGAAGGATCATCCTCGAGAAAGGGGGTATGCAGAGGTAGCTACTGAAAAAAAATGGAACTCTTAACACACGCACTCCGTTCTTGAAAGGACAGGACTAGAATCTCGCCCATAATTTGGGTTATTACGATCAACAACATATTTAGAGTGCTTGACAGGTTAATATCTAAGAGCATTTGCAAAGAGGCAACTCGAAACTAATGATAAATACAAAATGCAAACAAGAACATTTCGTGAAGTAATGTTGTAATCCTGCATCGATATTCTGAGTTAAAGTTAAAGGCGCTTTGCGTGATTTTTCCTCACTTCACCAAGGTGGGAATGGGTACCCAGCCATAGAAAGCGAAAGATCTTGTCAGTTTGTTAGTGTTTTAGAGCCAATATATGGCCGCTTGCACTGTTTGCTTCCCAGGAAGTTGAGGTTGTTTCAGAATGCTCTCATGTCTCAGTCTGCTGGGGTAATAGTATAGATTGTGAAGTGCATAGAGTTTGCTGTTGGGCTGTGATTTGCGCTATACAAATGCTATCTTTTATCTATTTTTATTATTATTATTATTAGACGAATGCGACCTGTCACAGCCATTGATTTAGCACCTGAGAGAGAAAGAGTAAACTGAACAACGTCGAGGTCGCAGTAATAGCGAAATCACAAATTCACCGATAAATACATAAACGTTTCTAAGCGAATGTCAAATCAAATAAGGTAAGATAAGATAAGATAATACTGAAAATGGGGAATTATGTTTGTTTTTCCCCACTTGGTTCCCATTTATTGTACTCTTTAATTAATTTTGTTGAGAAACCTTTCTGTCTACGAGAATCTTGAGTAGTTTTCTATGTCTTAGGCCACCATTAACATTATTCTGGATAACAAAATCGTTATGGGCTTTGCAACTTGGGTGCGTTAAAATTGATTTTCAACGTAACATTAAAAATAGCACCCAAAGTTTTTCTCTACACTAATACATGTAATTGCTCGATTGATTTAATTTAAAATGGGCTTTCCTTATACAGAAAAAATGCCTAAATACCGTCGTTATTTTAACACATTTAAAACCTTCGCTTTCTGTCTCCCCCTTGCAAAACTGGGAGGGGGGGGGGGTGTTACACCATTGTTTGCAAAATTGCTTAAATCCCGCAATTTGAGCAAGTTTTTCACCTACTTTCACTTAAAAAGACACTTTCAAACGAAAAGTTAGAAAAACCACGCCCTGTAAGCCTCTTGTTTAAAGCAGTTTCTTTGTGGGTGAGTGCGTCATCAAGAGTACCCTTTTTTGGCACTTATAAGACCTATAAGACTAATAATAATAATAGAGAGCATTTATTTCACAGCGCCAATTACCGCCGAACAAAAAGGTCTATGCGCTTTGCATTCTATATTTATTACCCCAGCAGACCTGATAGCATTCTGACACACCCCAACTTCCCAGGAAGCACACAGTCCAAGCTGTCATTTACATGCGCTAAAGCACTCATATACTGACAAAACTTTTACTTAAATAAAAAGAGTGCTGTCTTGAAATGTTTTCTGCCACAAGAGTGTGATCTGATCAACTCACATGGGGCGATGAATTCTTCTGTCTGTTCTGTTGTTTTTCTAGGCGCTGTGACGCCGTGTGTGACTGATGTCACGATCACACGACCACACCCAGAGGGGGAAGCTAGTCGTGGTGGTCTCATAACTGACGATCAGTTAACAGAGGCCTTGGTGATCTACAGCGTTTTGATCTGTAGCTTTGAGATCACTGGCCTTGTTTTTAACACATTCAATTTGATCGTGTTTGTTCAAATGGGTGTGAGCGACCCAGTGAATGTGTGCTTCTTCGCTCTGGCGGTATCAGACCATTGTCTTTTGGCCACTGGTCTTCTTGCTCAAATAGCTTACAACGATATTGGTTCAATGCCGAGGAAACTGTCTGTAAATTCTTTACACATGACCATGATACTTCTCTTCTACGCTCATATGTTCCTGGATATTTCTATTCTGATCTCAACATTCATTAGTCTTCAGAGATGCTGTTGTGTAGCATGGCCGCTTAAATTCAAATCTGTGTTCACAACTAAACGAAGTCTTCTGGTTATCATTTGCATACATCTCTACGCCCTGGCATCGTACTTTCCACTTTTTCTGAAGCAGACTTTACACTCAGCCCCAGACCTTTTGAGGAATTCTACAACTTGGATAATGACATTCTCCAAAGAAAGATCTCGACTCGTCTCCATTATCGACATCCTCAATCAAGTCTCTCTCTGTATTATCACGCAGGTCGTCGTCCTAATCTGTCTCGGCATCCTCACGACTTCTCTGAGATCTGCGTCAAAGTTCAGAAAATCCGCCAGAAGCGAACAAACCGAATCCAAGACTATCAGCAGGAAAGAAGACCAAGTTGTGAAGACGGTAACACTTCTTTCCGTTGTCTTTGTTGTGACTTACACCCCAGCGGTGATGTTGGCTCTGATTCAGATCTTTGTCCCAGAATTTGACACATACAAAAGACTCAACAACCTCTACTTTATCCTCCACAACGCTAATGACCTATTTGAGAACTCCAGCGCTGTCCTCAATTTCCTCGTGTACCTCAGCACCAGCACGAGGTTCAGGAAAACGTTTTGGGTGCTGCTACATCTGGACAACAAACAGGAAAAGTAGGACATGAAAAAAAACAAAAACAGTTGTAACAAGCTAAGGTGTGCTAGAATGACATACGAAAAGAAACAAGAAAGAGAATATTACTTTGTAATAAGATAAAGTGTCACAGAATGACATACGAAAGGAAACAATAAGAAAGAGAACATTATAACATTGTAACAAGATGAAGCGTCTCAGAATAACATACGATAAGAAACAAGAAAGAGAATATTACTTTGTAATAATATAAGTTTACCAGAATGACATACGAAAAGAAACAATAAGAAAGAGAACAATATTTAATTTTGTTCCAGGATGGCTTATACTGTGGCTAATATCTTCTATAAAGAATCATTCAAGAGACATAGCTGGATTACCACTGATGTCTAATAACAATAACATACTGTTTCTTTCTATCATCGTTTTTCACCAATAAACAAACCCATGAATTTGATGTCTCTGGCTTTGATTCAAAGAGTGCTTGTTAATGCGCTAATAAGCAGTCCTAGTGCAAGAATTGTGCTCCAACTAGAGAACAATGGGTTAGATCTACACAGGGATGACATTTCTGAGTAGAAGTTGCTGTAATAATCTTGGTAAACAATCACACCCAGTCACCTACATAGGCTGTTGACGTTGTATGCTGAGCCTAGGCTGCGAGTATAGTGCACCCGTGTCGTTCACGGCCGTAAGCCGCACGGCTGCACGGGTTTTGAAAGTGAGTAAAGTGAACCCGTGCGGAAATCTGCTGCAACACACAACATGGCGCTCACCAAGAAGCAGAAACTGAGTTAGATCTAGATCTAGTGGTAGAGAAAACGTTATAAGAATAGACATCTTACTTTATAGGTAGAGGCTTTACGAATATGCCGCCAGCGTATTATCGGGGAAAAGCCACCAGAACGACCAGTTAGGATAATGTATAGAGAGGCAAGTCAAGATCGCATCCAGGGAGAATTGAGGGGACTAAAACAATTAAATGGCAAATAACTCGTCAGACAACTTGAAACCGCAAGCTTTCGCGTGGCAGCCAGGGCCGTTATCAATGGCAACACAGCAACCAGAGTCACATGTCGAGAGTCAAAACGTCCGACCTCACTCAACCCCCTCCCTCCCTCCTGTCATCCCACCAGGGAGACACCCCCCCCCCCTTTTCCCCCGTTTTCCAACTTCTCTTGCAATGTTCTCACAAGAAGAGCACAGCACATCTTGGAGAGTGGTTCTTGACACTCTTTGTGTATGTGAATTATCGACCTCTCACTGCTGCAATTGGCTTTTCGTCATCCATGTTGGAAAGCCAGGAAATAACTCTAGCAAAAAGTTTGGGAAGAGTTCTGCCCCTTCACCCGTGCGGTCGTGAAACGTGCGATTTGTACAAACGTCAGAAACACGTGTCTGATTTTACGGGTCGGGTCGGGTGCAGTATACTCGGTTTCAGCCGTCTCTAGTAAGCCCAGATAAGGATTGGCTGGGACCGAGCAGTTCTTATTTACCGTTCGGCGTGCGGCCGTGTACGACACGGGTGCACTATTATACTATACTCGCATGAGTCGTCGCCAGTTATTGTTATTTGAGTGACAATATGTGAAGAACCCGGAGAAGAGTAGCAGAAACTGATGGACAGAAAAATGGGAAGACATGGGACAACTTCAAGAGGCTAGCCCAGGGTAGCGAAAAGCGGAAAGAGTTTGTTCATGGCCTGTAGCCTGATGCAGGGTGAAAAAGGCAATGATGACAATAATGAGGTACCCCGAACACTTTACCTTTAGCTTTTATTGATTTCCCTCTTGGTGGAGCGCTGTTAGCTGTTGTTATCATGCTCGACTACAAAGATGGTGGGCCTGGTTCGAAACACAAACGAGACGTTTTGAACTTGGATTGTTCTGGGGAATTCCTGAGGCTCACGTGTAATTATTTTTTGGCAGCTATATCATAAGATTACGTTACCTTTTTTTTGTTTCAGGGGCCGAAAGCCTTTTGATAAAACTAAAACTAAGCAATTATCGGTTAGTCAGTTACAGATACGCTGTAATGGTTTAGGGGTAAAGTTTTAGGTATATTGTACTTGTAGTAATCTATTAAGTGTTCTAAGAATTTCGTTCTAGGTGTGGCATGGTTTCAAGTTTCAGGGTCTTTCTATAGAGATAAGACCCATTTGCATAATGTTCTGTTCACTCCACCTCCAAGATAAAATCTTAACAGAGCTGGGGGGG